GTATGAGCCTTGCTGACATCATCAAGGATTATGGATATATGGCTGTTGAGCCTTGTAAGAATGATTTATAGTTGGGCGTTAATTTATTGCTTGAAGTAACTTCTAAATGCTGATGAAATAATGTAATGTGATATCAGATGTGCCTCGGCTTGTTGATGCTACTCTGGTACTGCTTCGGGAGGAATCAGCTTGTCAGCTGACAGCATCCGATGAGGAAATTGATGATGATGATGTTGTACATGATGAAGAACTGATGGACGCAGTTTCTGACCTTCTTCCTGCTTTTGCAAAGTCAATGGGTCCTCATTTTGCACCTATATTTGCTACGCTATTTGAACCTTTAATGAAATTTGCGGTGCGTTGTAACAAACATCGCAGCATATTTGGTTGCATGATCTTACTATAATTTTCTTTCAGTTACAACTTTTACTATTTTAAAAATAACTTTTACTAATTTGACCTATTGGTGTATTCAGAGAGCTTCGCGCCCACTGCAAGATCGGACAATGGTTGTTGCCTGCCTTGCTGAAGTTGCTCAGGACATGGGTGCTCCAATTGCTGGATATATCGATGTAATCTTATTAAACTTTTGTATAAACTTTCATTTTAAAAGAAAATTAGGAATATAAATGAGCTCTAGAATACATCATGCTAGTTTCTAAAAATTTGTATCTGATTTCAGAGGGTGATGCCCTTGGTACTCAAAGAATTAGCATCATCAGACGCAACCAATAGGAGGAATGCTGCATTTTGTGTTGGAGAGTTATGCAAAAATGGGGGTGAGGGGACATTGAAGTATCCTTTATGCGAAGACTATAATTTCTTTTCCTCTTTCCTTATTTTGCACTAGGAATTTTCTTTACCTTTTGATTGGTGTTTTGGCTGTTGGGTGTTCAGGTATTGTTGGCATGTGATGTACCATCTTTAAAATTATGTTGTTTTTAGCAGTTAATTTGGCATTGAAACCTATACTCTTAAACCTAGCATTTGCGTTCCACTTGCTTTTTCTTTAGTCAAATTCCAGATACTATGGTGATATACTGCGTGGACTTTACCCGCTATTTGGAGAATCTGAGCCAGATGATGCTGTTAGGGATAATGCAGCTGGTGCAGTGGCAAGAATGATAATGGTGCACCCTGAATCCATCCCATTAAATCAGGTAGTTCTCCTGAGGGAATTTTCTGACATAAAACTATATCATCTTCTCTTCCTTCTTTCTTTTTGGCAGGACACAAAGTTAGTGAAGATGATTTCTTTGGCTTATTATTGCTGAGATCTGCTTGTTAATTTTTCAGGTACTTCCTGTTTTCTTGAAGGTTCTTCCATTAAAAGAAGATCATGAAGAGTCCATGGCAGTATATGGTTGCGTCTCAACTCTTGTTTTATCATCTAATGGCCAGGTCAGTTAATTGTTTGCTGATTTCAATGTGAGACTGGTTTAGACTTGAATGAAAAGATCTCTCTCTCTCTCACGTATATATATATACAGATTTTCTCCTATGCGGATGTCTGGACGTTATTACAGTGCGGAATCCATGTATTTTCTACTACGCCTCCTTGTTTACAATGGCGTCCGCATGATAATAACGTGCCAACATCCGGATATATATATATATATATATATAGTGAGCTTCTATTGAGGGATTCCTCACATATATATGAATGTATATTGTACACATGCTGAGGGATCTTTCTTTCGAAGCTCTCTATGTATTGGGTAATCTTAGAAGTTGCTAAAGTTTGGTTTTTTTCAGTTTTTCTTATTTCCTCTTTTATATTTATTAAATTTTTTAAAAGTAAGTGACATGAAGTTTCTTACCCACTCCTTTTATGTTCCAAGCAGATTCTTTCTCTAGTCCCTGATTTGGTTAATGTATTTGCTCAAGTGGTGGCATCACCGGTTGAAACTCCTGAAGTAAAAGCACAAATAGGCAGAGCTTTTTCTCACCTGGTTTCACTGTATGGCCATCAAATGCAACCCCTTTTGAGCAACCTCTCCCCTGCGCATGCAAATGCCCTAGCTGCATTTGCTCCAAAAAGCTGATTCAGAGTGAGCCAGTGACTTGACTTCTCATTGCATTTGCTACAAGAAGCTTTCTGATTGATCCCGTGATTGTGGTTCTTCTCCATTGGTTTTTTGCTTGATTTTGTTGCTGAGATTTTTTTCCAATCCAAAGGCTGGTATGTTATTCCCATGTTTTAGCTGGGATGGCTGAATCCTGGGAGGAGGGCATCATCCTGTAAGGTACACGTATGACCTATTGCGAGAAAATCACCAAATGGGTGTGGAATAAAGAAACAGAGCACAATATTGAATAGTTAGTAAAGAAAAGACTATATAGTTAGGGAAGTTTTTAGATTTAATACTGAACAGTGTAATTATTTGGAAGAAAATGCAGACCTGGAAACTTGAACTTACATAGAAATTTAGAATGGTCGGGATATTCTTCCAAATTGATTCTTCGATGTCTGAGTTCTGATACATGTAGTCATTGAATATTTCATTTACTTGAAAGTAAGAAAGAAGGCTATACATGTAGTCAAGCTTTTTGGTATTGCTCCCATTTATAGATACAATTTTCATGCATATACTGAATGTTGCAAATTGCATTAACCTTCTATAAATGTTTTTGTTCATTCTTACAGGTGATCCTCCTTCCGGTACTACCTCCATTTTTCAAGGCTGGAGATGCTAGTTTTTTTCTTCTTCTATTCATTTGTTTCTTTTGTTTCCAATGGTATTCCTTTCCCCCCCTCAATTTCTGGGTATTTTTTGTTTCAGCAGTCATTTGGATTTTTGTTTTTTTGTTTTTTTGTTTTTGTTTGTAATATTTGTTTTAAGAGATTGAGGTTGTGCCCTTGTGGGTTTTTATTATAGGTTTGAAAATTTCACCTTATCCCTCACAGAATTAGTGAAGATGACGTATACCGGCATTGTGTTATGTATAACAGCTTGTCTGTAAGTTTTTGCTTGCAGAATTAAATTGCCAATGTTAATGTGCTTTTATATGCCCTGCCTAAATTCTAACAAGGTCACTTATAATTTTAATAAACAATGTCATTAGAAGAGTCTGGATCCCGAGCCTCTACAACAAATGCACCATTTCTAAATGCAGACGCTTAGGATCCTTAGAATAATCGGTTACTTTTGAGTTGGACATGGTAACTAAGAGCATGAGCATCTTCAACAGCCTATCTAAACCATGTTTGGCTAATCCCAAAAACTACAAATTTTTTCCTCCAATAGTCTTAAGCTATATCAAAGTTAAACTTGTTTTGTGAATGGTTGCTGGTTAAATCTAAGTCAGCAGGAGATTGGATTTCACGAACTCCCAGAATCGGCAAAGGAGGAATTCAAGGATCCTCTCTACTCTCGCACATTTGTGTAGCCAGCAGAAGATTTAAAAATAGATTTCTCCAAAAACACCAGCTAAAAAACATTTTTGGTATGGTTGCTGGGGTTAGGCGACTTTAATTGTAGGGGAATTCTCTAATAAGTATTTAAGTGAATGATTGGTTACATATTTCTCATTCCGGCCGTTGGATTTCTAATGTCATTACTACATATATCTTTCAGGATTTCATTGCTAATGCAGGTCTAATAGAGGTTGCTTTTAAAGGTAATACTTTTATTCGGATTAACTATCAACAGTTGGACAACAGTTGGGCAACACTCTGGATTTCAAGGCCATTGGTTAAGTTATAATGAGTTCCCTATTATTAAAGAATGCTTGAAAACATTCATCTCCTTCCTCTCCTTTTAACATTTTTTTGGGTGCAAATTGCGGTGCTTTGAGATTCTTGCTTAAAAGATGGAATACTAGGATATTCTAAAAATTCATTAAAACAGGAAGAATTGTTTTGCGTGCAAAGGACTAGGATAAATTGGTTACAACTTGGGTGCAAAAGTGCTTTTTTTTCTTTCTCATATGTATTCAGTGGTGATTGTCATGAAGGATTTGGCTGCAAATAACGTGTGGGTTGTATTGCAAATCAGTTTAATACGCCCATATTGCTTTTATGATTTATTTACTCAACATTTGTAAAATAATTGGCTGTAATAAATTTATTTTTTTCTCATCTGCATTTTTTAAAAATAAGTTGAATAAAAAAATAATTTTCATGTTGTGATGTAGAGAGATATAGAAGAGCGTCGGCTAAGGATAATGCTTCCCTCCTTACCCATAAGAAGAAACTCCTCCTTGCCTACTGATGTGGCTAACCCACAAACTTCAGAAATGATTCAAATATAATTGAAACAATCATGAATAGCGTACTTCTCAACAACTGAGAATCCATATTGAAGAGATAAAGGCAACACTCCAACAGCACTGCAAACTGCAACCATAAATTCAAAAATATTACTTAAACATCAAGGTAGCTGCAAATATGTACACCAGAGGGCAAATGACTTACTACACCGGCCAACAACCCAATCCCAAAATGCAAAAGCATTATTTGGGTCAATCCCAAACTTCTCTACAAGCCGAAACAGTAACACAGAAAGACAATACATGAGAATAGCTTTCATTGCGAATAGACCAAACTTCAATGTCTACGAAGATTGTAGATGGAAAAAGAAAAAGAAATCATATCTGTTTTTATAACCACTTCAAAAACATATGCGTGATGTTGATTAAAGGATGGTATTAGAGAATCTTTGATAATCCATCACAAATAAAGGGCACTAAGATCTGTTTGTATAAAATTAGAGAATCTTAATTTATATAACAATTCAGGAACACTTGAAGATGAAATGCACGCTTTTCTTCAAAGGTTTTCACTAGAGTACCTAAATCTGCCAATATTTCCCATCTAAAAAAATAAACTCAATCCTGATGAACTCAATAAATAGCATCAGCATCAAAATCGAAAAGAAAAAAGCGCATAAATTCAGAATGACAAACGGATAATGAAAAATTGTTAATTAAATTTAGTGATAATCTGAATGTTTAATCAACTAAAGTCAAGAGAACAAAGGAAATAGCCATACTGTAAGATTAGTGCTGACTGCTACCATATGCTTTGCAACTGCATCAGGCCTGAAATTGTTACGCTCAATCATGAGAAACAGAGAGACGCAGGCAGATCTTCAAAACTTACGTTTTATTTGACAAAATCAATGATGAACTACAAAGACATAATAAACCTTCACTCCATCGTACCATCTTGATTACTAAATTATTCAATTAAAAAATTACTAAGCTATTCCAAATATGATTCATTCCACCCATTCCCAAGCTCATTCACGTTTGTTTAAATTAACCCAAAGATTATCAAGCAAATCCTGAACCGAAACAACCCGTTCATATACTTGAAGAAGTGTTGGCACTGCACTAACCCGAGAGATGACGAAATCCATTCCCTAAGGGTTCGAGCATTCGAAACTACCACAACTGCAAATATCTAAAGAATATGAATGAACGATAAGAAACCCCACAGAGCTTAGATTACAAAAGTCAATATGTAGTGATATAAATAAACTTAATGCTTACCGATGGTAGTTTCTGGGTTTAACCCTGCAATATTTCTGGCAACATCAATTAAAACCAAATATAAATTAAAACCAATTATATGCATGGTAAACCTGAACTGAATATCAACCAGTGATTCAGCAATTTCTTGGCCGAAGATGATGGTTTTTCCTCTTCTACAGCAGCCGTATTATCTTGCATCTCTCTGGGAGTTTTTGATTTACTCCTTTTGCCCATCTTATGGATTACATTACTGAGAATTGACAAAAATGTATTCGCAGAGATGCCAGACCCGCCAGGGAAAAAGAAATCTGAAAAAAAAAAAAAACCCCAGTCAAGTTTTCGAAAAATCGGCCGCCTAGGCGGGCTAGGCGGGTTTTTTTTTTTTTGGTTAATAAAAAGTAACGCCGCGCGGCTATACTATTTATTTTCTTTAGAAGTGATGCCACTTTGGTGTTAGCTTCAAATGACATTCGTTTTGTTTGGAAATGGCCACAGGACCCCAATTCTAGTTGAGTGGTAAAGAATGACGTGCTTTATAATTCTTTCCTATTAGATTTCTCCTCTCTTTCCTTTTCAAATTGAAATCGGAGCGATAGTTGGTCGTTTGATTATGATGATATTGATTGAATGCAGGCAATTCCCAAGGTTCACCCTAATTTATGGAAACCAAGGAGTGGCTTAGAGCTAATGAACAATGACCTTCCCAGCACCAACCCTGAAGAATAGGCTATGTTCAAGAGCACCAACCCTAATTTATGGAAACCAAGGAGTGGCTTAGAGCTAATGAACAATGACCTTCCCAGCACGTCAGTATTGGCATGGATAATTCCACCATTGTAATATATAATCTCCACTCAGACGAGGTAGTTTGTTCTTGTAAAAAAAAACAAATCATGCTCGATGTTGTGATGAAGCAATCCCGAAAAGTTTGTCATTGCCTTGATTTATATATTTTGCAGGTTACAAGGAAGCTTGAGGGTCATGCCAAAAGAGTCACTAACCTTGCCTTCTCGAACACTCTAAATGTACTAGTTTCTTCTGGTGCTGATGCATATTGGAAACTACAATATTACTTTCAGACATGGCTTCTACTCTAATGCGACTTCTGTTAGACGTCGTTTTGGCCCGGCAGATTTTTGTGTGGGTGGGAAAAACAGAGAAGCAAATTGTTGCAGATTCCAAATGAGAAGGAGTTGAGATCATTGTCAGATACTTACATCCAAATTCACCAGAATGAGCTGCACCTCTTTGCCATAAACAAGACTCACCTTGCAGTTTATGAAGTGAAAGAACTAGCGTGTGTTTAGGGGGGGAGGCTACCCCATCCCAAGGTCAGGACATAACAAGGTTTCTTTGAGGAACTATTTGGCTTTTTAATTCTTCACTTTGGGATTAAAAACACAAGACACCCAAAAAGGGATCAAGCCACTCAATGATTCACCATGATTTTTTTTTTCTTCATATAAAGATGTAGTCACCGCCCCTTCACAAGTATATGATTCTAACCTATACAAATTGTGTATCAATTTTTACTTTGCCTTGCATTGCAACTGCTCAAAAAGAGCCTGCATATTTTACAATTGATTTCAAGAAAGATAAGGTTCTTTTTGAAAATTCTGCAAGCTAAGTATTCTTCAAGTGGTCACACTATCTCTAGGAGGTTTTCCCTTAGGAATGACCGTCCGGTAGTTGCGACATCACAAATGTAAAACAGGGATGGGAGGCCTGCCACCTTTTTGGCTTTGACCTGCACTCATCTCCTGATTCGCTTTTATATGTGTTGTTGCACAAGGAACCTGTTGTGTCAAACTTTTCACATGGGCACTCTACCATCCTCGCCAAAACAAAACTGAGCATGGCACATCATTGTGCTGTGGTGTTTTTGTATGCCTTGCAAATTCTCCTTTGCATAGAGAAATCGAACCATCAACGTAACCAACAGAGGAGATAAAAGATCAAGAGTCCTGAAAATTCCATGAAACGGATCCCTTTGTAGAAAGGTCCTACTGCTGAAGCTGCAAAATGCATACATCATGTGATTAACTTGCATATCAGATGTAAATATCAAATAATTTGGCATGCAAAGCAAAGCAAAAAGTAAGTGAAATCAGCAAAAGACAAGGTCCATGGATGCGTCTAACAAAACCTTAGCTTATTTGTTTTGGTTGTCAAATGGCTGCCGCATTCGGTTCATCATCATATCACATTAGTCCCACCAGTTTTAACTCAAAGTTTATTCTCAAGTCTCCATTAAGGTTGCACCAAATTTCAGTTTGTATATTTGTTTATCCAAAAGGATCCCAAAATCTGCTTCGAATATTTGTTTTTTAGACAAGTTCATATAATTCCAAATGTATATACTTGTATAAAATAACTATGTAATTTGAATATGAACTGTATGCCATACGACTAATTGCATTGAAAAGCCAATCAAAGGATTTAGCAGAAATAACCAGATTCAAAATTAAATAGTATTTCTTTGGTCTACAGGATTCACTTCTCGTAACTACAGAGGGATATCTATTTTCAATTAAGAAAAACTTATATTGCCAAAAGATAAAATTATGAATAAAGATGCTTAATATTTCAATTGGATTCACACTCATTTTTACTCTTAAAAAAAAATTAGAGAGATTAAAAAAAAAATAGAAAAATAAAGAAGAAAACCCCAGAAACCACCTGCTTCATCGACGAACCCCCCACCCCTTACCCACACCCATCGTCTGCCATGACTACTTCGTCACTCTTTCACAATCATTCCACTTTCACAGTCCATAGAAAAAATTTGATGAACAATGACCTTAGAGCTGATGAACACTGACATTCCCAGCACCAACCCTGAAGAAGAGGCTCTGTCCTGCTTTGATTTGTCCAAGAATGATTCATATCTCATATCATATCACCAACAGGAGGGATGATCTCCATTTTTGAGTATTTGCAGAGATGCCAAACCCGCCAGGAAGAAAGAAATCTGAAAAATAACACGCCATTCAAGTTTTAGAAAAATCGGCCGCCTAGGCGGGCTAGGCGGGTTCTTTTTTTATATTTTATTTTAATAAATAGTATAGCCGACCGGCTGTACTCCTTAAAAAAAAAATTTTTTTTCCTATTTTCCTTTATGAATATAAGAGTAGTTTAAAGCATTATCCATTACTATTAGGCTATTACCCAATCTCTATTGTCCCCTTTTGATTTTTTACTTATTACTCATATAAAGAATCTAGCATTTTCTCATTTGAAATTTATTATTTAGAGGGTATAGCCGCTCGGCTATACGCTTTAAATATATTATTTCAAGCAGATACTCCAGCACGCATCGATCTGAACTCAGGCAGATACTTTATATGATATGTCAAAAAGAGTTTCAATTTGTCACCAATCATCTGGGCATGACCCATCCAAGTCTGCGTACGCTTCGTTACAAGGATGTACAACCTGATCAGGCATTGTCTACGGTGAAAACTTTCCTTCCAACGTTTCCCACCTCCCATTCGATACACACCTTGTGCAGGTCGGCTACTAATGTTAAAGACTGGAAAAGGCAAAAAAAAAAAAAAAAAGGCTCAATCCGTTAACAAGGAAGGATAGATTATCATCAGCAAGATGTTTCTCCGTGGGGATTCAGTTATCATTGTTCTTAGGAATCCTAAATAAGGTCAAGATATGATTTAATTAATAAAAAGAAAGTTTTTTTTAAAAAAATCTATTGACCTATAGATACTAAGTATATTATTTCTTTTTAAAAGAAACCTCTTCCGAAGAAATTTTGTCGGGAGAGGTCAGATCCGACAAATATAAATTCATATTTTTATTGTTGGTGCAATGTGAAAAAATCTTTAAAGCATAGAATATTTCAAAAGTACACCCGCACAGCTATACTCTACAAATAGAGTATTTCAATAGTATAGCCGAGCGACTACACTACACTCTATAAATAGAAATTTCAACTTTATAGCCGCGCGGCTGTACTTTCTAAAAAGAATTTTCAAACGTACAGCTATACCTTCTGAATAGAAAATTTCAAAAGTATAGCCGCCCGGCTATACTCTACAAATATAATATTTTCAAAAGTATAGCCTCGCGGGTATACGCTGCAAATAGAATATTTCAAAAGTATAGCCGAGCGGCTATACTGTATAAATATCCTAATGTGGTATTTGAAAACTAAAATTAGTAACCAAACAAGTTTTCTGTACCCACTAAAAATTGAAAATCAAAAACTGAAAACTAAGCGCATGTTTGATAACTATTTCAATTTTAGTTTTTAGTTTTCATTTTTCATTTTTTGTGCTAGAGTATAGAGGAAAAAGAGGGAGAATGGAAGTGAGAATAAGAGTGGAGATGAGATTGACAGGGGAGGATGAGACGGATGAGTAACAAAAGTGAAAATAAAACTAAAAACTGAAATCTATTTGAAATTGTTTTCTCTTTCAAGTTTTTGTTTTCACTTTTGTTACTCATCGCTCCCATATTCTCCTATCATCCTCACTCCCATTCTCACTTTCATTTTCCTCTATACTTTAGCACAAAAAATGAAAACTCAAAACTTCTCATTATAGCCTTTCCACAAAAGTAAAATTGAAATGGTTATCAACTGGACCCTAAAATGATTATCAAACGGGCCCCAAAATGATTATCAAACGGACCCTTAACCTTGTCAGTATAGAGAGATGAAAAATAACCAACATGCCATCAATTCATATAAGCAAAAAATTAGCCACCTAGCGGCTCACAAAAAATTGCAATTGACTTGATAGTTTCGTGAATAAAGAAGCTATTGGTTAAATAAAAAATTTATCACTTTAAGGTTGTTTTTGTCAATTTTCAAAAGATGAGAGACTACTGTTAAACGTCACAAACTACAAGGTTAGAAAATGTAACTGAAACGTTTTGTTTTCATCAATTCATATACACTCTGTCTTGCAAGCACATGTGATGCGGGTCTGGTGCTGATCTTGCTCACACGAGACGGTGCTGATCTTGCTCACGCGAGACGGACTAGCATGATGTTTTATCACAAAATGCCTTGTATTATTATTAGTAATGGAATCACTCAATATATATTGTATTTTATTATGTCAAGGTTCCGATATGAGATTTTTTTAGATTCTTCAGCACTAGAGGTATGACAAAAACATGGACAGAGCTACTAGCAGGACCAAAGATTTGATACCACTTTGTTGCTTTGCTAAGCAATTTTCAAAGGGTTTCTCAAAGAGAGCATAAAGACTTCAGTCTCTGAAAGGAAGAACTCTAATGAATGGATGAAAAAGTTTCTGCATGAATATATTTCTTGAAACTC